TCTTATTAAGGGGAGCCGAGCTCCCCCTAGCTCCCCCGTAGTTCGCACCCTGTATATATATATATATATATAAATATATATATATATACATACACATACATATAATTAAATAAAATAAGACAAAATAAAACAACACTACATGGAGATATATAATTTTTGCAACAAATAATATTACAATATTTTTGGCATTATTTTCTTGACAATTAAGCAAGTTTTAACCCCCTCTTTTTACTGTGATGCATAAATACTAATATTATGTAATATTATTAGTAGGAGTATTAATATGTAATATTAAATGTTAGCATACATACAGTGGGTACGGAAAGTATTCAGACCCCCTTAAATTTTTCACTCTTTGTTATATTGCAGCCATTTGCTAAAATCATTTAAGTTAATTTTTTTTCCTAATATGGGGTGCTGTGTGTACATTAATGAGGAAAAAAAATTAACTTAAATGATTTTAGCAAATGGCTGCAATATAACAAAGAGTGAAAAATTTAAGGGGGTCTGAATACTTTCCGTACCCACTGTATATGTGCATATATATAGATCTAGCATCTATAAAACACAGCTATTAAAGCCATAGTAATAGGCTGTAATTTTTATTTTTTTTGTCATAAATGTTTTTATAATAAATAATTTTAATATTTTCTTCCCTTAGTTTCTTGATAATTGAGCGCATTTAAAACCCCAAATTCTTATAACATAGCATTAACGAGAATTTGTGTGAAAAATGCAATTTAGTGTAATTTAAATAATATCCTAAGGGCTCCAATAAAGGCTTAATTTTGCATGCAAAATATTATTTCTTATCTTTTATTTAGATTTTTGGAGTCAATTATTACTTACCCTCCAGGTCTTGTGAAATTCACCTCTGATCTCATGCTTAAAATTAAGCTGACTTGTTTTAAAATCTTACTTCTTCAAGGTCAATTTGCATGACCCACAATACATGCCCAAAGCCTGGGAGTCGCGCCAGTCGTATTTCCCATTGACCCCATCTGTAAGAGCTATATCTAGGGTAGTACATGTCATTTTCTAGCATTCTAGTTGGCTTTTTATCATTCAGCGTACACCACAATCCAGCCTGAAACCAGATGAAATGTCCAATCTTTAGGTCAGCCCATCACTCTCAGCGAGACGTGGCTTGAGTTCCACAGAGGGTTGTGAGGTTCGCTTCAGTCTGCCGTTTCCTTGAGTTTTAATTGCTTAATTGAAGTCATTATCTTCGAGCGGAAGTAGTCTTTCTGGATTAATTCCCGGGATAAATCAGAATCTAATTGATAGGAGACGGATACAGACTGCAGATCCCTGCCCACTTCTCATACACATTCCCATAATTACATTCCCTAAATTCTCTCTCGCAAATAAAATCAGTTGTGTGTGTGCTAGATCCACTGTAGAATCGAATGTTCAATATATTTTTTTTAATTTTATATTTTATTTAATTTAATTTTATTTTGTTTTATTTTATTTTATTTACACTCTTTTTCATATAATAAAATGCTTATTTTTTCTATAATCATACATTTTCATACAAATCAAATTGGACAAATTTGTACGAACTCTCATCCACATGTCAATAATTATAGTCATTCCCTCCCATATATTAAACACACTGTTTAATATATGATCAGTCAGATTTCTTTTCAGTCATCCACTGTGGAATCTTTTGTTTTGTTTCGTTTCGTTTCATTTCGTTTCATTCCGTTCCGTGTTTTGTTTTATTTTTATCCACTTTTTCCCATTTAATGAAATTGTTTAATTTTCGTATAAATCATTTTGTCCAAATTCATACAAAATCGCCAGCTCGTAAAATAGTTGTGTTGTCTCATGAGATCGGAATAGTAAAAAGTGGTCTATATGACTAATATATGTACGATATATGCCTTATGTCCTGTATTCTAAGATTTCAGAAATCATGCATATGTGTATAGACAGAATCTGCAGACATTTTTTAGCATTTTCTGCACTGATTTTGGCAAACTCTATGATAGATATGCATTCCCATTCTGTGGACGTTTCTGCAGACACAGATTGCATTTGAGTTCAGATGGAGCTCTCAAATTTCATTCGGAAATTTCATTCCGGTTCTCTGTTTAGAAAAAGCACAACTGCAAATGAAGTTTGAGAGAAGATTAGCGACTTACATTTTGCCTGTTCATCACACAGCGCTGTCATGTGACCTCAGAAGACTTCTAGCACACGAGTCATATGCACTACTTTTACCTTGTGTTTCACAAAAGAAAGACAATAAATACAGAATATCTTTGTTTATTATTATTTATTGTTCCATTAAGTAGTGACTGATGGATCGCTAAAACATTTACAGATTCACGGATCCCAACTGATATCTCAAGGCCCCTGTTCCCTACAGCCCTGCCAGCAGCACTAATGTCTCTAACTGCTAACATTTCACTCCCAGCCCATGGACGGTTTCCATGGAGACGGACAACCCTCGAAATCTCTGACCTCTGACCTTAAAGGTTTAGATGCATTTAGAGCATCTTGATTGGAGGTGCACTGCTGTCTTGCCATCTTATCTGGTCCTGATTGAATGTCGAGGGTTGACCGTCAACAACACTGCTGTGTTTTTGTGTCTTTATGGTAGTTGTTGTATTTCGTCTCTCCAGTCACCTGTCACTTCCCCTTTGTAGTTTGACTCTCAGTATGTACCGTACTGTTGTGTCAGTGTGACACAGTTTCAGGAGTTTCCAAAGCATTTTCACATTTGAGATCTGCTTCTGATTGCTTCTTCTTTTTCATTAATCTTTTTGTAGTTGCTTTTTAATTAAGAGACAGAATTTATTTCACTTATCATAGTCACCTTGTATTTCCTTACATTTAACTGTATAATATCTATTAATAGGAGCTTTTCTGTGTCTATTACTATGCTATTTTGTACATGAAGATACGTTCACTCTGACAACAATTAAATGATTATATTTTATTTATTTTACCATTATTTTTAATTATTTAATTTTTTTAAAATATTAAAATTGAATGTTTAGTTTAATTTAGTCACAATTAATTAGTTTTTTGTTTTGTTTTGTTTTGTTAGTTTTATAAATTTTTTCCGTTTTGGCTTTAATTAATTTTATTTCAGTTTTACTAATTTTAGTAATTCAGCTTAAACTTATTTTATTTCAGTTATATCAGTTAAAATGTAAGGTTTTCATCTAGTATTTTTTATTTTATTGTATTTCAGCTTTTTA